ATAGGCTCCCATAGATTTCTTTGAATAATAAAGCTATCGGGATAAAGTACGACTTGAATATGTTTTGTAAGCATATAAATCATTCTACCAAATTTTTTCCGGATTGGTTTATTTATGGTAATAGCTCCTATATAAGGTCCACTCCAAAAAAATCTCTTGATAAAATTCGACGCAAATATGTTTTGTGTAATGTCATAGCTCCTATACATATAAAGTCCACTTCCGAAAATCACCTAAACGCACATATTTCATTAATTAATAAATCTATTGTAGTAAAATTCGACTTGATTTGTTTGGCATATTATATGAAATTTTTTTCCTTATCGGTCAATAATTGGTCACAACTCCCTTATAAGGACCCTTTCCGAAAATTACTCAAATGCACATTGACAATCAAAGTTATCGGGATAAAATTCGACATAAATGTGTACTTTGTATATATAAACCATTCTACGGAATTCGTAATTAAATGATTATATCCGGATAAAATTCAAAATGAGTATGTTCTGTGTTCAGATAAATCATAAAATTAAAATGTTTTCAAACTGGCCTATTAATATACATTTTTCTCGACCTAATTAAAATTAGTTTGACATATGCATAAATGTTCAATACGGAAACAAAAATTTTGCCAAGTTATCTAAAAATTAGATAGTTAAATGGGTTTTAATAAAAAGTAGCTTGCTGGTGGAGGGTATTTAAGATTCGGCATAGCCGAATATAGCACTCTTACTTGTTGACATAACTTTTTGTTCTAGCTGTGTTCATTAAACAAAAGTTCGACAAAAATCATTCCTGTTCTAAAAACATTATGTGTTTTATAATTAAACACGGCGAATTGAGATGTTCTTGAACATGAAAAATACATGGACAATTTTGTCGATTTTGAATTGTATTTTAAAAAAACATGATGTGTTTCAAAAAATACGAATATGTGAACGTAGTATTAAGTAGTTTTCTCAGAAACTACCAAAGATATTACGATGAATTTTGAATCAAAATTTTTGATACACATTATTTTTTTAGGGATCAATTATGTTCAAAATCATAATAACCAATCTAAAATTTCACATAGCACTAGAGTTTGGGGTTCGGGAAATCCCGTACGGGAATTATCGGGAAAACGGAAAATTTTAAGTAAACGTATTTGTAACATATTTTGAAAAAATAAGCGATTTTATAATTTATCGTAGATTTTTTTAAAGACAAATTACAAAGCATCATTAATGGTGCAGAAGGAAATGAAAAAATCCTTAATTAAAAACTATCAATCTTTGTAAAAGCTTAACTTGAAGCAAGTGCAAATAGAACAAAAAATTTTGACATTAATGAATTTCTAAAGCCAACGTCTGTGGAAAACGTTTGAGTTTGAGTAGCTGGACATTTTTCCACAACATAACGGAATTGTTCATCTTTATTTCATCTTAATTCTAAGAAGTATGAATGAATCTTATTAATTTAATACTTTACTATTCCTTTGCCTATGGAGTATATGATCTGTTTAGTAGTCCTGTGGTATGCAAACTATCTCACCAAGGTTGGCTATGAAGTAACTGCCAAAAAACAGTTTCTCTTAGCGGCTAGAGCAGGACATTCACAGAGAAGATGGAAGACAGTTTCTTCCATTTCCCTGCACTGCGACAGTACTCATTGCAGGGTAGCGTTGGAGATATCAAGAGCTGGTCCCGTTCTAGCAAACTCATCTGCCTGTTCATTTCCATAAAAGCCCCTATGCACAGGGATCCAAACAAAGACAAGAACAGATCATTCTTGCATTGTCTAAATAATAAAGAAGTGGTAGTATAAGAGATTAATGGAATAATATTTCTATGTTGCGCCGAATATTGAGAACATGTAGTACCCTACAGGCTTGATTTAAATAAGTATGTTTAAAATTTTTCGTTGGCATAATTAAAAAAATAGGTTGATTTGTTCTCAAAAGAGGGAAAATTTTAGATATCGCTAAATTTATAAAAAAAAGTTGTCTGTTTTTTGTTAAAAATTTTGTTATTATAGTTATAAATTAAGTTTTATATAAATTCCCGGGATTACCGGGAAATGAATTTTTTCATTCCCGTTTCCCGGGTTATTGAAAAGACCGGGAATTCCCAAACTCTACATAGCACCCATACAAAGGAAATTTATTTATCATGAATAACTCCCTCAAATATATCGGTATCAACACAAAATTTTGAATATATAAATATGATGTGAACAGGAATCATATTACCGACGTAGATCTGTATCGGTTCACATTTGGTCATAGCTCCCATATAAGGTCCACTTTCGATAATCACTTAAATGCACACATTTCATTGATAAATAGCGCTATCGGTACAACATTTGATACACAGAGATAACAGATTCATTGTGGTAGCCGAATTTGTTTCCAATCGAATTCTGTCGGTTTTCACAACTATATCATAATTCTATTAAGGTGACTGTAAAATTCGATTGCTATTACTGTGTATTTGGAATTCACAACTATTTCAAAATATAATTCGGTAATACCTATTGCAATTATCGGTATCAGCAACAGAAATAGTAATTATTGTAGACATTTTTGTGTATTGTATATAATTGAATATTTATTTTACAAGATTTCATAATATTATTGTATTTTATTTTAAGTTCATACATTTAAATGCCAACTTTCAATATTTATGCATAAAACTAGGATTTTTCACTTCTGGCTTTGAGAAATGGGTTCCATGGATTTAGTTTTTTGCTACTTTTGAATTTTTCTGCTAGTTTTACTTCCCTGTAGTCCGTCCATTGCTGTAAACGTCTACAAACTTAACAGATGATAAGTCAAAATTAATTTCAAGATGAACATCACCTTTTTTATTTCATTTTTCCGCAAAAATATGTCAATTTCTTCTAATTCATAAATTCATGTTTATGTTATTTAGTTATTTTTTAAAACGTCAACTATAAGTACAATTTATCTTTTTCTATTGATAATTGATTGGTTGCAATCATTAACATTCTTTTCTTTCTACTGTTTTTCGGTTACTAATACTTGAAATTCTAACGTTTAAATACTAAATAAAATTCGGTTGCACTTACCGAATTAACAAAAGTATTTTATTACCTAAATAATTCGATTAAAATTACTGATTTTGGAATTGCTAAAACCACAATTCAATCACAATTATGGTTTTTTAGTTCTGAATACAGAAAATCAGTTAATTTCATAGTTTTTCATTTACGGCGATCGAATTTTAACTAACTTAACTAAATAAATGTAATAGTAACTGATTTCCAATCGATCTTTTTTCTGTGTGCATGAATATGTTTTCTATACTTATATATCAATCAATCTATGAAATTTTTTTCGGATTGGCCCTTTTTTGGTCATGACTCCCATATAAGGTTCACCTACGAAAATCACTTAAACGTACATATTTCATTGATTAATATAAAATTAGACTTAAATATGTTCTGACGATATATAAATCATTCAGTGAAATTGTTTTAGGATCAGTCCATAACTCCCGTATAAGGTCCATTTTCGAAAATTACTTTTAATACAATTTATGAAATACTAATATCTAAAAATTAGACATTTAAATGGGTTTTAACAAAAAGTAGCATGCTGGTGGAGGGTATTTAAGATTCGGCATATAGCACTCTAACTTGTTAATAATAAAAATTATTTAACTTAAATTGTTGGAGAAAAAACTCAACACTTAAAATTTTAGATTTTTCGACTTTTTGTCAACGTTTATTTGCAAAATCGATTCTTCGACTTTTTTCTTATAAGATAGTCGATTTATCAACTTGGTAGGACAAAAAAATCGACTTCGACCTTTCGACATTTTCCGACAAAAAGTCGATTTATTTAACCTATTTCTAGTACTAATATTTTTCTATAAAAACTTAACCCCGTTTGTACTAGAGTCTGCTTTTAGTACTAGGGGCATTTAGACAATTATCGCTTCATTTCCTGCAGGGTTACTATGTGACTTTGGAAAATAATTTATTTGCCTTAATTGGAAAAGATTTTATTTGTCTTTCTAATTACAAAATTGATTTTACAAGATAGTCTATTTATCGACTTTGTTGGGACAAATTATTTTATTTCGATCTTTCAAAAAAGTTTAACAGAACTTTAATTCCTTCGACTTTGTTCTTTTATTGTCTTTTGTATATGTACATTACAAATGAAAAACTTGTGTTCTTTTGCAATAAAAACAGAGATAAATCACTCTTTTAACTCTATGATGTTAGACTGAATTTGTTATTATGTACTTTTGTTATAATATTAGTCGTAGAGCGAAAATTTTATATGGATGTTGTGTTCGCCAGTAACAAAAATTAATTTTTTTGGAATTTTTTTCTAACATGATACATACAAACATTGTCGAATTGTCCACTTTGTTAGGACAAAATAGTCGACATTAACTTTTTGACAAAAAATCTATTGTTCGATACATACATATGTATTTGGTTAGTAAAGAATTTAGTTTAAACTCAAATAATAAACGAAATCTTTTTTTGAAACTATGTGGTTGAAACTATCAAGTAAATGAGTGATATTTATTTGAAAACTGTTTTTTATTGGAATTTTGTACCATTAAAAGCATGTTCATCAAAATGTAAATATTTTGCCTATGCACAATATTTGCCATCTCTGGCATAGAGTTGTTTACTTAAAATTCCCTTAACATTCTATTTACATCCAATTAAAAATGATCTGGTAACACACTATTGTTAAACGAGTGAGAAAAAACCACTCAATTTCGGTGGCGTATTTTTTTTCAAACAAATTAGTACACTGCGAGAGTGAGAACAAACAAAAGAGAGAGTTGTGTTTTCCGCTTTTTAAATTAAAAAAGTTAGAACGCAAAAGCAAAATTGCATTAAAATACTTAACGCGTAAACATCACACAAGAGCAAAAGGGACAACAATAGTGGAAAAACCGAATGCAATTGGAAGAATGAACAGCACAAAACAAAATCAAAGAAATAATTATATCGAACGTCGGCTAGACAACAATGAAAACGAGCATTGTAAATTCACTCAAGAAAAGTTAATGGTGGTGTACGTTTCGTTAGAAATTTGTAGCGCAAGTTGTTAAAAAAGTAAAATAATTTTAAATTAATTATTTAAAAACACACACTAAAAAAAGAAGCAAACACAAATAATATACATCTAGCAAAAAGGAATACAAAGTAAATTATTTATTTATGAAGGTTTACATAAAATTGTTATACAAAATCTACAAAAAATAATTAAAAAAAAGAAAGAAAAACCCAAAAAGAGTGTTGTATATTTGCCAAAATCTCCTCTCTAATAGTCTATTGATAAATACAGTGTTTTTTACAACCAACAACAACAAATGCAAAAAATACAATTTTAATTAGGAAGAGAAAAAATATAATAATATAAAGTGTATTTTATTATATTTATTAAATCATTTTCTAATTTGTTGAATTTATTAAAACACAGTGGATTTTAAACAAAGTGAGTGTCAGACAAATAGCCAGACAAACGTTTAAAATAAAAAGGCGACTTGCATTAGAAGAAAAAAATAACAAAAAAAGGAAATTTTTCATAAATTTAAATAAATCTAAAAAAAAAGTACGAAAAAAGAATTTCAAACAAATTTTATTAAACAAGTGCAAAACAGTGATATTTTTTTTTTAAACAAAAGCAAAGTTTTAAAATCCCTGAACAAATAATTAATGAGGAAATAAAACAGATTTATTCAAATTCTTAATAAAATTTTCGAAAAGAAAAGCAATTTAACAATAAATAAACAAACAAATAAAAAATAAACCAAGTGATATCGACTTTTTATTATTATTATTTTATTGATGTCGTCGTTGTCTTTTCTGTAAAATTAAAAAAATACAGCCCAAGTAAATACATAAAAAAAAAGTATTTAAACAGCAACATCAAATAAAAAAAGGTAAATTTTTTATTTTTCTTTTTGTTATTTCTGTCTGTCTTCTATTCATTTAGTTGTTTTTTATTTTATTCATTCAGTAGAAAACATTCTGCAGTAAAAATACAATAGAACAAACAGTAAAAAAAAAAACAACAACCAATAAGGAAAAAAAGTGTGTTCAATTCATTAATTGAATTTAAATAGTTTTAATATTTTGCAAATTGATTTTACACCACATGCTGATGGATAGTTAGATTATTGGAAAAGGAAGGGAGGAGGTAAACTTAAAAGGGTACGGCAAAAAGTACTTTTTTCATAATAAGAAAAATAGTTGTAAACGTAATCGAAGAGACAGTTGGCGGGGGATTTGTTTCTGCTGCTGCTGAGTAACGATAAATACATTTTTTCCAGTTTCATACAGCAACAACAACCGGCAAAATAATTTTGCACAACTTTTCGTATGTGTTTGTGTATTTGTTTTCTGTTCGCGGCCGTTTTTTGCAATTTAGTTTTTCATGATTTTTACTACTTTAATCATTATATTTGTTGTTGTTACTTTAATTTTTATAAACCCCACCGAATGGCAAAAATCCACATACATTCGCACAAATACTCATAAAATATGATTTTTTTTCCTTGAGTCGTCCGTCTTCGCCTTCGTCTTGTAAATTTTTCTGCAATTTTCGTCTCGTTGGAATTGATTTTCTTTTTTACATGTTTTTTTTTTGTATTTCTTATTCTTGTTTTTTTATATTTTGTGTATTTTGCGTTAATTCTTGTATTTCTATTGTGTATATGTTTTCTTCTCGCCTCGTTGTTGTGTTCTTTTTTTACGTTTGTCACGTTTTTATACTCTTACGTTCTTTTTATTCAACTTTTTTTTTCTCGTTCTCATCGTCTCATTTTGAGTTCCGCAAGTCAGTACACTCCAGCAGTGTTGTCAACGCTTTGTCAAAGATAGTTTTTTTTTCTTTATTATTAATGCTATGTGTTATGTTAAATTTTTATGCTAGAATTTAATTTTGAAGCACTGAGTGTGATTAACAAAAATATGTTAATATGATATTGCACAAAGTATTTGTCACTAGATATTGTAAAAAATAGAAGTCTATCGGCGAATTAGGAAATTCGATAGCTATAGAAATGTCAATAGTTTTAAAAGATTAAAAATGTCATAGTTTGCCCCTTTTAATTTTCAGTAATAGTCAGAAAAAGTTATGTATAAATACGAGGGATGTTCGAATCTCGGTTAAAAATGTTAATTTCAAATTGTCTATGAAAAGCAAATAAAAATATTAATAATTTTTATCTAAATTTTGAGAGCAAAATTTTGTGCGAGATACTGAATGCGAGCGAATAAATTTTAACTAAAGTGTACATTATAGTCTTAAGGAGTCTAATCCTTACTATAAACTAATCTTCACAATATTTTGTAATGTAATTACTTAAATAGCTATCTATCAAGAATACTGATGTTAGTTTTATGACCATCAAAGTAATTTGATATCCAATATCTTAATATTGAACATTCAAACGATTAAAAATATCGATATCGAGGACGTTTAAACGAGAGCTAGGGACCGATATTGGCCATTTTAAATGCAAAACCAATATTTCCGAAGTATTCATTTAAATTTTTCATTTTAAATTTTTTGTAAGCGTCACAAACGGCGCAAGTTACAAGCACAAAAGTTTAGGATGCCTTGACGTGTAAAATGCTTAAAGGTGGAAGTACACAATACGCGTTAAGGTTGTAGCGCGTTTAACGCTTTTCGATATTTTCGCGATTGACAGGTTGCAATTTACATCCGCGTCATTTTGATCTTTCTTTTAATGTTTTTTTCTTTCATTGTTAGTGAAATTTATATTACCCTGATCAGCTGCCGGCGCTTCAAAAGTTGAAAGTTGCTGAACATTTCGCGGTAGACGTGTTACAAAATACAGTGTGTAACTTGTTAAATGGAAATACAGTATTTCAACTTTTTTTGACAGAAGCCTATAATGCATTGCGCGTACAACGCGTGTTATGTACTTCCACCTTAAAGTAGATTTAATTTCGACTTTTGTAAGCGTCACAAATGGCGCACGAACATAGCAGCTGATTTTGAATAAATTAAAAATAAAAAAGTTTAAAATAAGTAAAAGTTGTAGAAAAACTCAAAGTTCTTCATAAATAAAACGCATGTAACTTAAAGCGTAGAATGCGAAGAAGTTATAAAAAGCAAGCAAGGCTTTGACGCGAAAACGCGTAGTATGGACTTCTAGCTTAAAAATATTGTATATGTCTTATTCAAAGTTATTGATGAAAGGGTTATTGAACAAATTTTGTTATAAAAATTTGTTCATTCGACTGTTTTCAATCCAATAAATCATTAATATTATGACAAAGAATTAAGATTTTAAATTAAAACTCAGAAAATTATATTAAATGGTACATTCGCTATTTTCAAGTCGAATTAGTTACGTTTACGGTGGCAATGAAATTATATGGTTAGAGGTATATCTTCATTCATAAAAGACGTTTTATTCGAATTGTAAATTCTAGGATATTCAATCTATCTACCGTCCTTCAGACAACCGAATACTTTTGGTCGATTGATTGTTCGAATCTTATATAACTGTTGATATAAGAATTAATAAAAACTAGTTAGTTTTTTTGTTTAATTAATTAATCTAAATTTCTACTTTTTAATGTTCTTAACTAAAAAATCGTAAGTGTTATTAAAATTTACTGCAAACAAACTTGCTAATAACGAATTCTAGGTTATTATGAGCAATTGTTTATGTTCCGATATTTTGGAAAATATTTTCATAAAAAAAATATCTCTTATAACGAACTCGGTTCATTCCTTCAAGTACAATTTCCTTCATACAATTTTTCTTTTTTTATGACGAACTTCAAAATTATGTGTTTTTTTTTTTTTTTTGCAAAGAATATTAAATGAATTTATAATTTATATTCATTTCATTTCGTGAAATGCTATTTTATTTTTGGAGCTACAAAAACTTCACCCGTTTTATTACGAACTTCTCATATAACGAACAAATTTGACTGGACCCCAAGAGTTCGTTATAAACTAGTTGAACGATTGGGAAAATCGTTCCCACGATAATTGGAATTTCACTCCGACGCGAGTCATACTCGGCCAATGATTGTCAACTCAACAACAGCTGTATCAACCCAATTGACACAACAGCTACTATTGCGAATAACGCTTTCTAATGCACATTCGTGATTCGATTAGACTATTCAATGACATGTCATTTCATTTTCGTTGTTTTGTAAACTGTTTGAATACTTGTCGTTAGAACATAGCATACGTGTATTTGTAATGGTATACGCACAATTGGGACGAACGACGAATTTCGTATAGCACGACGAACTAGTCGACAACAATTCGTTGCGTAAATTCGTCGAATGGAACACAATCAAATTATTCGTACTGTGAATTCGTTTCAAAATTTTTTTGTTCGAAATTGCTAAAACTATATTTTTGTGAATATCCCCAATTTTGAGATTATTTTAACAGCTTCAAAATTGTTTCGAACATTACTTCGAATTTTCGATCTTAATTTTAAATATTCCAACATAGCATTGTATTGTCATCAAGTGTACTCCAGAATGCCAATTTTCAGACAATTCGGGCTACGAGAACTGGTTTTAATGGCTTTAAAAATTTTTCGAACTTATGTTCGAATTTTCGAAAATTTTATTTTTAGTTTTTATGACCCAGAGATTATTTTGAGAGCATACAAAATTTTTCGAACATAACCTCGAATTTTCGAATACAATTTCGAATATTCGAACATAATACTGTATTGTCATTAGCTGTAATCACAACCGCCAAATTTCAGCAAAATCGGGCTACCGGAATTGGTCTTAAAACAATTTTCCCCAATTAATTCGTCGTTCATCTGCGTAAGAAATAGAAATAAACCTATCGCATAGTTCGTTACATACGACGAATTTCGTCATACGCAATGATTGTGTACATTTTCATATACCCAAGTGTGTTCTATTTCTGACGACGAATATTCGTTCCGAAAAATTCGTCGTTCGTCCCAATTGTGCGTATACTATAAATCCTATAGAATTGTTAATGAATACAAATATTGGTGAATGTTATCCCTTTCACGCACAGAACTAAACCGCGTAACTTTTTATGGATATGACTTCTCTACACACTTTATTTTGACGTATATTGATAATTTTTGATGAAAAATCGAAAAAAGTGTTTTCGAAGGATATCGCAGGATATTATCCTTGTTAGCATGTAGTGCCATCATATTCTAAAAAATAACTTGGTTTTCTTTGGAAATAACTATTTACTGTAGCTGTGAACGTGAAAGAGTTATAGAATTTGTTAACTTTTTACGAGGCAATTTAATAAAATTTTAAATAAAAATATAGATTATTTAATTGTAATTATTTTGTTTTTCTTAAGTTAAAGTCAAATAATTTTAATATTTTACCCTCTTTGAATACAATTGATTACAGTTATCCCGTCAAAACCTACTATGAAGTAAACACATCCCTTTAATAAATGCTCTTGTAAATTGTGTTTATGCCTTAATTTTCGAGCTTCTCAAAGACAAAAAGGGTTGACTACGTTCCAGCTAGCGTTATTTTTCTTTAATTCTCCCTGTGTATAATTTACTTTTGCATGTCTCTACTCTCGTACTCCTTTTTTTATTGTAATCGAATTCTTGTATTTTGATTTCTGTTTGTTTTCAATACATACCTACGAAGTTGTTGTTGCTGTTGGCTGGTATAGTCGATTTTTTTTTGTATTGTTATTAGATGAGCGAAAGAGAGAACGAAATGAGAGAGTAGTGGTATTTTTTGAGTTGCTTGTTTTTCATACATTTTTTTCCAGTAATTGAATGAAATTTATCGACTAATAAGATGCAAAAATAAATACAAAAATAAAAAACAACAACAACTGCAAATTGTTCAAATAGAATTGTCGCATGAATCTTAAAAAATATATTTAACTTAAAATAAAACAAATAAATATCAA